GCAACGCTTCCAGCTCTTCTTTCCCACATGGATGGATTGTACATTAAAGGCTAGAGGAAACAGGATCGGAAATGGGGAGACATCTCAGTAGCCTGGTTAGTTCTCCAAGAGTGCCTGAGAGAGGCCGTGGGGGAGGGGAGGCTGGTTTGCAGTGGGACCCCACTGCAAGTCCCCTCACCCTACAGGGGGAGCAGAGTCTGGCGGGCAGCAATTTGTAGAAGCCGAGGCCTGTGGGTACCGGCAGAGTGACATTTCAGTCACAGGCCAGGAATGCTCTTTTCTTTTGGTAGTGGTCTGACTGAGCTGAGCCCTGGATCCCAGCTGGCCATTCACCCTGCCACCCTGGGGGCCACAGTCTGAGGAGGCAGCCTTCCCTCCTCCTGTGAGCCCCTACTATAGGACTTGTTCTCAAAGACCTATAAAACCCTGTCCCTTTACCAAAATCCGTGTTCTGTTCTCCTGCAACAGACCTGTGAGAGACCTCAATCGATCTGTACTGGAAACGCCTTTCTGCATTTCCCAGGGGTCTCTTAAAGGACAGCACAGTTCCCAGCAGCTCTGCTAGTCCTTTAAGTACTCGATGACTGACAGCACTTCCAGTGCAGTGAGGGGCTGGGAGCTGTTCCTCTGAAGGGCCAGACAGTATATATTCCAGGCGCTCCTGCTGGGTGATACTCAGCTGTGCTCTAAGGAAACTTTATTTATGGACCCTGGAATTTGGGTTCTGTATTATTTTCATGAGTTGCATATTCTTCATTTGTCCCCTCCACCAACCATTTAGAAAAATACAAAAATCAGTCTTAGTTCACAGGTGGTGTGATAACAGGCAGGCAGCCAGATTCTGTTAGTAGGCGTGGCTTGCCAAATGTTTCTTATAGTCAAAAAAGCCTGACATTTTCAGCCTTGGGGCCCAGGTTTGAGACCAGAATCTATGAATTACTGACCTTGGAACCTTGAGGAAGTTACTCAGTTTGCTAAGAACCCTAGTTTTCCTTTTTATAAAAAAGTAAAATATGCCAGGCATGGTGGTACATGCCTGTAATTCCGGCTGCTTGGGAGGCTGAAGCAAGAGGATCCTAAGTTCAAAGTCAGCCTCAGAGATTTAGCAAGGCCCTAAGCAACTTGAGCGAGACCCTATCTCAAAATAAAAAATAAAAAGGGGTGGGGATGTGGCTCAGTGATTAAATGCTCCTGGATTCACTCCCTGGTATCCCAAACAAACAAATAAAAGAGTAAATTATAATGCTCAACCTTTCAGATGGATTAGAATTGCAGGAGTACTTGGGGTGAGTGCTCTGAGTTTGCCACTCGGTGTGGGGTGTTAACTGTACATGCTGTGCTTGGTTCAAATATTTAGTGGTTTCTGACATAGTTTTCCCTTCTGGATGATACTCTGCATCAAAACCCTCCAAGACAGGGCAGAAACAGTGGGAAGAGTGGTGGTCGACTCTATTTCAGATTAAAGGATCCAATTTTCTTAAACCCAGGTTGGCTGTGAAGTCTAGAAAGCAGGCATTATTTGACAGTGTGTAATATCAACGAATTGTCTATTGTACATATGTTGTCATGTTTTCCAACTTTGCAGCCAACGGTGGGAAGGGAGTTGTGATAGAAGGTAATGCTGTGCCATGGATTTTCTTGTCCTCTACGTTCCCGACCCTTCTGACTCACACTGAATATCACCCAAGTGGAGGAGGGAGAGACTGAGTCGACTCTCCCCGTGAGCCATTTCTGAAGTGACTTACTATGAGCATTTTAAGTGTGTCCTCCAAGCTAATCAAACCACCTCGAGTTCTCCCCGCGAGCCGTGGAATTTGCAAGGTTCTCTTATGCTCTTTTGTTCCCGTGTTTTATAAACTGTTTCTGAATAACCCAAAGAGACTGACTCCAATCAATGAAATGTAAGAAAATGCAGGGAAGGAGGTCATGAGAGGGTGACTCTGGAGCATGGAGAATTTAGGCTTTTCCGTGAAATCATAAATAACTAGAGTGTTTTGGAAATAGATAAGTCAGAGCCCTGGAGTGGTGGGTTAAGCCTGGAAGGGAAAATTGTGCTTAAGAAATAGGCTGACAGAGCTGGGCACACAGGCACCCGCCGGAGCCCCAGCTGCTCAGGAGGCTGAGGCAGGAGGACCTTGAATTCTAAGCCAGTTCTAGCAACTTAGCAAGGCCCTGTGCAATTCAGTGAGGCCCTGTCTCAAAATATAAAATAAAAAGGGCTGGGGATGAGGCTCAGTGGTTGCGAGCCCCTGGGTTCAATCCCCGGTACCAAACAAACAAACAAACAAACAAAAACAAACCAAAACGAAAAAACAAAGAAATAGGCCAATAGGCTGACAGCTTTAGAGAGAGCAGATGGATTTCTTAGGGAACCCAAGATACTGAATCCCATCAATGGATTCGAAACCAGAGAACAAGGGAAAGAGCAGAAGAAATGGACAGAGGGACAAGGGCAGCAGGGGAAGAGCTCTGCCTCTTGGACACAAGAGTGGTCATGGGGTCAACCAGGCTGGCTGGGAAGGGTAGCGCCTCCCATCACGGTGGCTGCGGATGGGCTGACGCAGACGGCGGCGGGGGACAGCCAGCAGCATACACACCCTGATGAGCGACACCCAGGACTTAGAGATGAACTGGAGAGGGTGCTGGGCCGGGGGAGGTGAGACCTCCAGGGGACTGGCACCCCTCTCACTCCGCCAGACGGGGTCCAGGTCAGGCTTCACCGCCAGCCTCCCTGGCTCACGGACCTCACCACGCTTTATGGAAAGGCGACTCAGCTGCCCCTGACCGCAACTCTCACCCGAGGCGAGGCGAGAGCGAGCCCGTGGCCGTGGCATCGGTGGTGCATTTAGACCGCCTTCTTTATTTCAAAGCACTCGATTTGCTGGACGGAGGGCGGGACCTCCCGGTGGACGAGGGCTGGGCCTTGTGGAGTACAAAGGGTGGAAACCGTGGGGTCCCCTGGTCCAACCGTCGTCGTGAAAAACCCCACTCACTACTTGCTGCTTAGAAAATTCAGACTTAACGAACTTGTTTCACCTCCAAATTTTAACAGTTGACACAAAATACACTGTTAAACTGTAGAAAAATAGACGTGTTTTAAAGGGACATTCTAACAAAAGTCCTTCAGGAGCGTCCTCCTCTAAAGATTCAGAGCTCACGTTATGAAAATTACAAGATTTGGTTCGAGTTCTGTGCCCAGCCACACCGATACCAAGACAGTGGGACACGGGAGGGACCTTCCCCCCGGGGGGGTGCCCTGGGGTCAGACCTGCGGGAGACCCAGGCGTCCGCTCTTGCTTTCGTTGTGCTAAAGGTCAGGCAAGAAGGGACCAGCCCCCCCCCCCCCCCCTGCAGAGTTTGTCCTTGGAGCCTCAGTTCCGGATGCAAGAAGGTACTTCAAGAGCTAGATCAGCAGCCGAGCCGCAGCCCCGGGCCGATTTGTGCTACTGGCGCTGCCCCCAAAGCCCTGGACACTGTAGGCTGTGCCCAGGGCCAGGGGCGCCCATCCTAAGGCTCCAGCGAGGTCAGGTCCCTACTGCCCACAGCCTCCGGAGAGCGCAGGAAGAGCCCGGGCCGGCTCCTCCTTGCCGACTCCTCCTTTGACCCTGTGGGAGGAATAAAGGATTCAACAGACAATGGACGCCAAGGATGAGGTGCTGGCAGGGGCTCGCGGTGACAGCTGTGGTTTCCCCGCAGTCAGAGCCAAGAAGCTGTTGTCCTGATGCATTCACCAGAGGGGCTGCCTCCCTTATCTCTGGGGTGTCCTTTCTGGTAGACAGGGTCCCTAAGTAGAGCAAAGGCCCGTGCCCCACGGTCGGGCAAGGCCAGGGGTCACAGAGGGACAGCCGGTTTGATCTCCTTGACCTCATAGCCCAAAGCCTCAAACTGCAGCACAGCTGTAGGAGCTGAGAATAAACTTGGATCCACTCAATGAATATTCATGACGGGCCGCCGTGTTGGGGAACAGACAGTTTGTAAATGCGAAATTAACGTGAAGGATCTTTTCAGTGCAAAATCTCCACCTGCCCCTGAGGTTTTGTCTGAGTCCTCTTCCTTCTCTATTGTTTTCATTTTGAAATTTGGGTTTGCAGTACAAAACCACCCCCTTTTCCTTCCTTCCTCCCTCCCTTCCTCCCTTCCATCCATCCATCCTTCCTTCCTTCTTTCATCTCTGCATGTTAAAATGAATTAAGGCTACGTTTTTTTTGGCTTTCTTTTCATTGACAGATGCTTTGGGTTTGATTTTTTAAAATAGTGGCACACCCTAGAGAGATGTCTTAGACAGTGACTAAAACTGTTGATCTAATCTTTGAATACTGAATACCGGTCACTTCGTAATTATAAAAGAAGACGAAAAAAATCCCAATGCAAGAAGTGTGGATGGCTCAGCCCCCAGGACAGGCAAGATGCCCTCCTCCAGGCCAGGTGGCGCCTGGCAGGGGAGCTCAAGGAGGACACTGTGTGCCACCATCGTGGCCCTCCCTGGTTCCGTGGCTTCAGACCCAAGCCATCTTGCCTAGAGTGCACGTTCTCCTAATTTCCTGTGGTTCTCATGATTACAGGGAGGATCAGTTGGATTTGCAGAAAAGTTCCCTAAACAGTTGTATCCCAAAGGGCGAGAGCTCACTCAAAAAGCATCAACACATCATTGGTGACATGCTAGAGAAGGGGCCGTTCCGGGGAGTCTCTCCCTGGCTGGTTAGTGAGGCCCTTGTTCTCTTGAAGAAAATGACACCTGTTTTGTAAACATGTCACAGTATATCAGCTTATTGGTGGTGGGTCTTCCCGTCTACTGGATCTCCCAACTGCCCCCGAACCTATGGCTTATTAGATTCAACAAAAGGATCAGCAAGGGAACAGAGAGGAACCCTAATGGCTGCCTGTCTGGGACCCAGAACAAAGGCCATGCATTAAAGGGCCAGCAGTTCATGAAATCAAAATAGTTGGAAAACACAGATATCAAAAAAGAAATGCCTACTGTACATTGGGAATCTTTTTTTCTTCTTATTTCTAAAGTTAGATATCTAAAACTACATTAATGATACATCTATATACATGATTTAATAGAAGTTCTGTTCTACAGTACTTTTGTACATGCTGGGCTTTATTACTAATTGCCAAAAGAAAAAATTACATAAGGCATATATATGTACAGTGGTTAGTCTTTAGCTCACCTGGGTCCTATACCTGCAGTGCCCGCACGGGCAAGCACCTTACCCTGTAGCAGATGAAATGTGTGGGATCTATAAAACTCAGGGCTGTACCCTATGACTCGCTGCGCGGTAGATAGGCACCGGAGACCTCGCTCGTCACATCCCAGGTAAAATCTTGGACACTCCCTTTAGAGTGATCTGGTATTGTTCGACACATGCAGGTTAGCAGCTCAAATCTCTAGGAGTTGGAGGTGGGTATTTTGAGAAGAGATCAAACTTGGGCCACAAATGTGGGCCCACGGCTCCTTAACCATCTGGTCTACCTTGTCAATCTGAACAGCTGAGAGAGGGCAGGTAGGGATTTTACACCTTGAAGACTTGTTTTCTGGTGATGTCAAAATTAAGTATAAAGAACAAAGCCAGAGAGACCAAAAGAAAGAGGATGAGTGACGAGGAAAGGCCACGTCTGGGGCAGGAGGGAGGGGGGCCCAGCCAGGCGCTAAACTTTGGACTCATTCTCTAGATTTGCCACGTCACCATTCCTTTCTGTTTGCTCTTCCTGATTTTTCTCTTCCTCCTCAGTCTCCAGTTCTGCATGTTGGTTGAGTTTGCTGGACACAGACCAACTCAGGGGCATCTCTGCCCTGCTGGCCAGCTCGGCCAGCTCTTTGGCACTAAGGGACGGGGTGCTGGTCTCGTAGGTCTCGTGGAAGCTGTTGTAGTCAACTTCGTAGAAGCCGTCCTCCAGCGTCAGGACGGGCGTGAACCGGTAACCCCACAGGATCTCACTGGTGATGTAGGAGCTTCGGGCTTGGCACGTCATCCCTGCGGAGAGAAGAAGGGAGGCTTTAGTGAGCTTTCCCAGGCCCAGGACGCTCAGTGAGCCGGGCAGGGCTGCCTGGGGTGGCCTTCGGGTGCACTGAGAGATGCACAAGGGGCCAACACCGTGGAGGTATCATTCACATTGTGGACACAGAGCCATGGAGGTTCCAGGACTCAGGGGACCACAGGCGCCTGCATGCCTGTGCATTCCCACGAGAAAGCCAGTGTGAGTGTGCACACAGGGTTATATGTGACTGTGACTCTGCCTTGTCCCCTCCACCCTGGAGAGTCCTGAGGTCACGACTCTGGTCACCCGTGCTTTCAGAGGCTCTGCCTCAGTGCTAGTGGGACTTGAATTCTTTGGTCACAGACCTAGAATGCAGTCTGGCTCATGGAACTACACTTAGGTGGCCTCTGAGCTGGGGGCAGGGGCTAGGATTCCCCTCCCACTGTCATGACACCCAGGCCATGGCCTTGGCCTTGGCTGGAAGGGTACACACCTGAATTTTCACTTTCCCTCGGCCACCAGGGAAATCTGCTCAGATAGTGCAACAGGAATTTAAGGGCTTCCCCCTCTTCTTATTTGCACAAAATGCCACGTGAACTACTGACAGCCCAGGAAAAGGGCTTTCAAATGTGACCTGAAAGAATGAAGGGCAACCGTGTATCTTATTGGAAAAACCAGGCCTAAGCTCTTTCATTAACATTCTTAGGAAATGGAAGCATTCATGTGGTCATTTGCTGGGGACCAAATTTCTGTTCGGCAAGTAGGTATAGTGTTTGGGCTCACAGATGCTATAAAGGGCTCACAAAATGTTTGAATTTATTTCAAAGTGTGGATTAAGAAAATGTTACTATATTCACCTTTATACCAACACAGTTATAAAGTATAATTAAGACAACAACTTTTCAGTAGAGCAAGGGACCTACAAAGCAACACAACCAAAGACTCAATGATAGTCTTGCTGTGGACCTGAGATCATTCAGGACAGCGGCTGGTCAGCTAGTCAGTATGTCATCTGTCAGGACAGCCAGTAACACGTATTAAGCTACTGCCTTGTGGTGGGGTAGGGGAAATGGAGACGAGTGAGATTTATGCAGAAGAGTCAGGGCCACAAAATACTCCTGAGGCATTGCACTTGCTTCTTGTGTCTAGAAGAAGAAACTGGGATTTACGGGTTTGACTCAGCTGCAACCGTGAGGGCCCAGCAGCACCAGCCCTGACTCCAGCCCTCTTCCTGCCCTTTTCCACTGGTCAACCCCACAAAACCCCACCTGTAAAATGAGCCCTGCGGGGGCTCCTGTGTACAGAGAAGAGCAGATCAACACTGCCTTGCTGTTGTTTCTCAAATGGTTTTTGAGTTCCTCTATCTGTGCTGGAGGTGGTGGGGGCAGGCGGGATGGTAGAGATATGTGGGCTCAGCATGAGGCACGAATGGGAAACCAGGGGAAAGGATGCTAAACAACTTTATTTTCCTAATGGAAGTGTGTGCTTACAGCTCTACACATGCTCAGGGACTTCAGGGATATGTCAGAGTGCTTCAAAGCCCCCATGACCATCTTTCCGCAGATTTTCCTCTCATATTCTGACTATCCTGTTGCTTTCCCAGACAGACACAATATTAAACAATTACTGCTGATTGTTTCTGGCAATCACATAACATAATATAAAATATAATCTACCCAGACTTTCATTTCTGGCTGCATAAATAACCAAACAGAACTGGAAATAAATACAAATATTCAAATTAAAGTCTAAATGGAGTTTTACAGTAGTTGGAATTGGCTGAAGAGAGAATTAGAACTTCGGCAATGAGTATGAAGGAGCTACATAGGATACAGTCAAGAGGATGCTATTAGAAATGTGAAATGAAAACTTTGGAAATCTCATTTCTTCATAAAGGAGATGAGAACACTGGCAAAAATTGACAAAATAAATTAGAGTTCTGTAAGTTAACTCATGTTAACACATGTGAGTGTGGGACTGTGAACATGTCTGAGAAAGACCTGAGAAAGCCCTGAGCTCACCTCTAGTTGACCTTGAGGCTTGTGCAAGCAAGAGTTGTAAAGTGCCTGCCTGAGTGTTTCAGGTAGGCCTATTATGCATGCAGAGCCTTTTGACAAAGACTGAGGGACTTATTTGTTACAGGATTTTAAGGAAATTTTTGTCTAATCATTAGCTGGCCACTAAGTTAACTGAGTAGAGACCTTAGTAATCAAACACAAAAGAGTACAAAACTTATAGAATTTTCTCTGAAAAGTCACTAAAAAATACACACAGTAACAACAACAGAAATCTTGAGAGGAAGGGGAATTTTTATTCTTAGGGTTGATACATTATATTATTTTCCACAAAAACTTATGAATGCAAAGAAAGAAGAAAGTATGCCCCATACATAGAAAGAAAGTAGTCAAGGAAAACTTTCCCTGAGAAAGTCCAGACACTGGAGTCATTAGACAAAAACTTTAAATGAACTATTTAAAACATATCCAAAGGACTAAAGTAAGTCATGTTTTTTTTTTTTTTTTTAAATGAAGGGAATTAGGAGAATGATGTCTCACCAAGTAGAGAATATCTGTAAATAAATACAAATTATATGTAAAATACCAAAATTGATTCTCAGATGAAAAGTACAATATATGAAAGAAAGCTTCACTGGAGGGACAGCATATTTTATGAGTTGTCAGAAGAAGGAATCAGTTAGCTTAAAGATCAGTGAGCGTAATGAAGATTATCGAGGAAAATAAATAAAAAAGAATGAAGAAACATGAGCATAGTCTCAGAGACTGAGATACCAACATATGCATAATGGGAGTCTCAGAAGAAGAATATAGAGAGAAAGGAGAGGAAGAAATAATTGAAGATGTAATGTCTGAAAACCAGATCCAAGAAGCTAAACAAACTCTAAATAAGACTCAAAGATATTCGTACCTAGCACATCTTAATTAAACTGTTGAAGCATAATCATAAAGAGGGCATCCTGAAATCAGCAAGAGATAAGTAACTCATCACATAGAAGTGATCCTTGATAATCCTAACAGCCGATTTCTCATAAAACACTGTGGAAGTGAGAAGGCAGTGGGAAGATATTTTTTCAAAGCAAACACAAAGAAAAAGACTGTCAACCAAAAACTTAATATCCAGCAAAATTATTCTTCACCAATGATGGAGAAATTAACTCTCTCCACAAACAATAATGGAGAGAATTTATGCCTAGCCCGCTAGCCATACTGCACTACAAGAATAATATATGAAGTCCTTCTGCGAGATGAAGGGATACTAGACAATAACTCAGACCTCACCAAGAAACAAAAAAGGAAGGTCTGGTAAAGGTAACTACATAAATATGTTTTTCTCTAGTGTAATTTTATGGTTATTTCATTTTGATGCCATTTTTGTTATTCCATTATGTAGATATACTATAGTTAATTCAATAAATAAAATGATGTGATTCAAAAGTATGTGGCATGGCTATTTCTTGAGGGCAATGTTGATAGTATTGAGAAACTTTGTGAAAACTGTGCTATTATGGGCCCAAGTGTACTGAGATGGCTGAATTGTGTTCCTTCAAACCCACAGGTTGAGATCCTAACCCCCAGTATTTCACAATGATGCATTTTGAGATGAGATCTTTAAAAGAGGTAATAAAGTTAAAATAAGGTCATCTGGGTGGGCCTTAACCAATGTGACCATGTCCTTATAAGAAGAGGAGATGAGGACACAAACTATGCAGAGGGATGACCAGGTGAGGACAGGCAGAAGTCACCATCTGCAGGCCAGGGAGAGTCCTCAGAAGGAGCCAACCCTCTGACAGCTTGCTCTCACACTTCTGGAGTTCAGAATTGTGAAAAAATAAATTTGTGACGTCTAAGCCATCAAATCCGTGAAACTTTACGGCAGCTCTAACCAACAGATAGACTTCCCGAGGTCTGTGGGAAGAGCAAAACACCTCTTTCTAATGCCATTTTAATAGGAGTATTTAATTTGTGTATTAAAGAGAAGATTTAAGCCCATGCTCTTGCATGCTTTTACAGTTTTTATTCATCGTTGGCATCTGAATTCATTTTAAAAGTGACATAGAAAGCACATTAATGTGCTTGTCTATCAGTAAGATATCAAAAAGCTTTCCTCAGGTAAGTTGGTATTTTTTCTTTCCTTTAGAAATAGAGTCTTTTTCACATATTGACCTTGGTCCCAGTTCAGTGCCCCCCCCCCCCCCGCTGAATTTGAAAAAGTGACAGAGTGAAATCAACTTGGCTAGTCTCAGAGGAGGTGGAGCTGCCGAATGGTGTCCGCGTCCCTACCTGCTCTGCAGGTCAGGGGGAGGTGATCCTGAGGAGCCTGGCTGGTGGGCGAGGAACTCTGGAAAAAGAGGCCTCATTGGTGAAGAGTGAATGGTGGGGAGCCGCTCTCAGTCCCCTAGTTCTGGTCACACCCTGTGGCCATGCTGGCTGTCTGGCCTCTTGTTTTGCTTTCCTCTTATTAACGAACTTGGTTGACAAATCAACTTGTGTCTGTTTCTGGGGTGCCGCAGCATGTCTTGATACTGGTGTCCACGTGAAAGGCTGAGCCACGCTAATGAACGCATTGGATTCACACGTCGCCCGTGTCCCTGGCCTTGGCTGACGCTTCAACAAAGGAGGCTCCCACTCCACGCAGGTACTTGACGCTAAGAGGAAACCATGACTCAGGGGGTGCCCAGGGACGGCTTGCTGTCGCTCCCTGGTGACATTAGAGCTGCATTACTGAACGAAAGGGTGCCTTAGGAAAGAGCAGACTTCTGCCTCTGACTTAGGTCAGACTACACAGGAAGGACCCTCAGCTAGAGTCCGAGATGCTGGAAACCTCCAAAACCACAGCTTGAATCACACCTGAGTTGGCGGAAAGTAGGAGCCAGGACTCCTGGAGCTAGGGAAGAGGGGGGACACCCCGTGCTCCTTCCCCACTCATCACAACCGAGACCGCTGCACAGTCCAGAGAGCAGGTGCCCCAGAGGCTGGAA